TTTGATGTGCTTACATAGGCTACGTTCCGAAATGCACTGTCAGTACTGAAAATCTATAATTTATGTTACATATATTATAGAATTTCAGTACTGGCAGTGAATTTTTGAACGTAGCCATAGTCATATTGTTCCTGTGGAATAAAAGACAGAACAGAGCAGAGCAAGAGCAGCCATAGAATATATTATAGTTGTAGATGGGAATATGTACTATTCTCTCGGATCCAGTTCTCACTCGTTCTGCACTCGATATCGTAAGTAGTCATTAATACATCTGTATATACATGTAGATATAAAGAAATTAAAAAATGGAATACAGCGATGAATTAGATTCACAATTTCATGTTTTTCATGATCATGGATAAATATTTATGCTTTGTCTTATATGCAAAACATTTATAAAGCCAACCAATCAGAATGTTTTATTCATTGATTACTTTATTCTGATTGGTTGTCGTAATCATTTACAACCATTTACAACCACGTTTACTTAATTGTAGAATAGCTCTAAAAGAAGTTTTATGCAGCAGAAAACCTCATTTAGTTATGTGCGCAGATTATTCGAATTTTCTACACATAAAACTTCACGCATAAGGCTGATATTTCACGTGTCGTACGACAAGCTTTTTGGATACGTTCATTGGTTGACGAACAGAGAACCTAGAATTACTCTATTCGCCAACCAATAAATGTATCTGAAAAGCTTGTCGTACGACACGTGAAATAGCACCCTAAAATGTGAGGTATTATGCGTAGACTTAGTATATATAGGCGTACTGGGTACTGGACTAAGCGGGCGTCACAGAATAGAAAGAGATAGCATGCTTTAGATCACCATTCTATCTTTTTCACTGCAAATTTTTCGTAGTTTGACCTTGCGGGGGACCCCAAGATCAAAGGGGAGGGGTTACTTAAGGTCATATCTGAACGTAAAATTTTCCGTTCTTTTTATTTCTGGCGTCAAAAGTATGGAGTCCCATTTGAAAAATCGAATTTGACCTTGAAGTAACTTTGAAGGTCTAGGTCAAGGTCACTATCGGATAGCCAGGGAAAAATCCTGAAACTTTTATATTTAACATTTTTCTCTAAAATGCTCCCCCGCCGAGTTATCTTGCCGTTCCGGTACTTTTGCTATACCCTGTATACAACATCCATACGAATCATTTTATTAGCTAAAATATTTTTAAATATGTATTTAGGACAAGATCTTAAATATAAGAATATACTGTAAACAAGCCTTAGCACGCACTTGATGCGCACTAGTGCAAGCTACCGAATTCGCTATAAATAAAATAAATAAATTCGTTCGAAATAAATAAAAAACTTTTGCTGATAACTTTTTAATAAAAAATGATCCTAGACTGAAATCTTCGAAACGTTACTTACGGATATGGCCTTGACAACATATGTGGTTAAAATCATCGGGGAGGTATGTTACTTAATAATTTATAGCGATACATAATATTATTTAAATATTTTTGGCATTAAAATTTTTCCGATGAAAATTCACTTGAAGATGTTCTTTTAACATCATTTGAAATATTTTAGTCAAAATTGGTGACAATAAAGTGTGGGTGATATTCAAGAGTTTATCCGAATTATAGATTTGTTGTTTGACGTCTTCTTTATTTTCACATAAAACTATCTTCTTATAATCTTTAATATAAAGACGAATTACTTGGTGTTGTTAAATATTGTTCGTCCAATTGACGAAATTCAAAAGCACATTGATTCCGCTCGAGCGAAAGGTTAATCTCGTTGTAAAAAACAGCTTGCAAACACAAAATACTTTTAACTCTCGCGATGGCTTTAACTTTGGTAAATCGCGCTAGCGCCTTCGAAAGGGCTTTTATTCCACTCAGGATTACTTCTTTCCGTGTTTCGAAAGGACTCTCTGGTGCCGAAGCTAACAAACACTTGCCGTACAATACAAATGCTTGACCTTGATCATAACAGCCTCCGTGACCTAAAATCGTGGGTATAGCATCTTCCACTATATTCAAGGCTAATGTAGGCAAACTCATCAGTAACTGCAAGAGAGTTATAAAAATATTTTAAATAATAACCCCTAATAGAATAATAACTTTTAGCTACGTTTTGTATATACATATATTATGAATATACATATGCATATATCTTCTACAATATGTATAACACAAACTATAGATAAATGCGCATATATGCATATTAGTCTCCGCACAGAAACATCCGCTTTAAGAGTTACGTTAAGTACTGTCATTAAACTTTACTTGTACTTAACTGTAAACTTAGGTTAACGCACAAAGAAAATCTTAACATAACCGTACTTACACGTCACGAAAAGTTTCATCATCTATAAAGAAAGAATATATTAAATATTTTATTATAACAAAATATAATAAATATTAAATTTGACAAAATAATATTGTATTGTTGTTACATTAATATATGTTTATATATATATATATATATATATATATATATATATATTATAATAAAATATTTAATGTATTCTTTCTTTATAGATAATGACAATGTTCGTGACGTATAAGTACGCTTACATTAAAAACTTCTTTGTACGTTAACCTAAGTTTACGGTTAAGTACAAGTAAAGTTTAATGACAATATTTAATGCAACTTAAAGCGTTACAGATGTTTCTGTACGGAGGCTCTTACGGAACGCAGTCTTAGGCCTGTTCTACAATACGTCGTATGTCGCTGTCGTATGTCGGAGTGCAGCCGATGGGCCAATCAGAGGATTTGTTTTTCGAGACGAGTTCTCTTGATTGGACTATTAATTGCGTTCCGACATCCGACTCCGACATACGACGTATTGTAGAACGGACCTTAGGGGCGCCGCACACGAATTGACAAAACAGTAACGTAAGACATATCGTAAGAATTGACCAATCACTTTGAGTATCGTCGAACCGTAAGGTCGCCATTTTTGTGAATATTCAATTGTAATTGGTCCATTTTTACAGTACGTCTTACGTTATTGTTCTGTCAATTCGTGTGCGGCGCCTCTTAAGCCCGTATCACACTAGCGATTGGAAATTGATGATTGACGATTGAAGATTAGATTTTGACAAATCAACGAGCTTCAAGCTTGGCTTGCTTTGTTCCAATTGGTCAAATTCCAATCTTCATTTGGCCTTTACGCTATCCTATGTGAGAATCTTGCGTAAAGGTGCAGAGGCTCAATTCTCTAAAGCCCATTCTACAATTGCGTAAGCGTAGTCGTGATCGTAAGAGTCAACCAATCCGAATGTTTTATTTACTGATTGCTTTATTCTGATTGGTTGTCGTAATCACATACAACCACTTACAACCGGGAGCGGTGCACTTGGACACGGTGCATTTGGACACAGCCAATCACAGCACCGTGTGATTAGAGACATTTGTAGGGTCCCTTGGAACAGCGACTTGTGATTGGACTGTGTCCAATTGCCCCGTGTCCAACTGATATACACCCCTTACAACCACGTTCACGCAATTGTAGAATGGGCTTAAAGCGTCTTTTACAATGGCAGTAGGAGTAGTAGTAAGAAATAAGCAGTAAGTAAATAGACCAATCACAATCGATTATTTTTGAAACGTGAGGATGGAATTGGTCAATTTACTTACTGCTTATTTCTTACTACTATACTGCTACTGCCATTGTAGAAGACGCTTAAAGGGACGTTTATATTGGAAGTAAGCAGTAAGAAGTAGGAAGTAAGAATAAGAAATTGACCAATCATAGTTGATTATTCTTCTCACATTCGACTGTGGTTGGTCAATTTCTTACTCTTACTTCCTACTTCTTGCTCTTACTTCCAATGTAGACGTCTCTTAAAGCTGGTGGCACATAGAAAAACTTAAGCAGTAAGACGTAAGCAGTAAGCGAATCAGCCAATCACAGTCGTTGATTCTTTGACCGTAAAACTGGCCGCACACACTTTCCGTAATAGTAATCGTAATGGCTCCTGCACATAGGACGCGGTAATGCTTGCCGCGCGGCGGAAGTCCGCGCGACAGCCAATCAATATGTTGTTTTTCCGTAAGAGCTAGAAGGTTATTACGGAAAGCAGCATATTGATTGGCTGTCGTGTGAACTTCCGCCGCGGCAAGCATTACCGCGTCCTGTGTGCAGGAGCCATAAGACGTAACGTAAGAATTGATCAATCATGTTGAGAATCGTCGAATTGTAAGGTCGCCGTTTTTGTGAATACTCGATTGTAATTGGTCAATTCTTACGTTACGTTTTACGATTACTGTCACGGAAAGTTTGTGTGACCAACTTAAGGGCCGTGGCACACAGAAAAACTTAAGCAGTAAAACGTAAGCAGTAAGCAAATTGACCAATCACAGTCGTTGATTCTTAAGGACCGTAAGAAGAATCAATGACTATGATTGGTCAATTTGCTTACTGCTTAAGTTTTTCTGTATGCCACCAGCTTTAGAAGAATCAACGACTGTGATTGGTCAATTTGCTTACTGCTTAAGTTTTACTGCTCAAGTTTTTTTG